AATTTCCGCAAAACTGAGTGTGCGTGTGACAGGTGCTGACAAGGCTGGAAAAGGCTGGAAAAGTAGGTGCCTCTTCGATTTCTGATATCGGCCCTCGTGGTCTCTGGGGAGCCCAGCTTTTGAGAAAGCGAGCGCCTCTTCGATTTTTGAGATCGGCCTTCGTGGTCTTTGAGCAGCCCAACTTTTGAGAAAGCAAACGCCTCTTCGATTTCTGAGATCAACCCTCGTGATCTCTAAGCAGCCCAGCTTTTGAGAGAGCAAACGCCTCTTCGATTTCTGAGCAGGCGCCTCTTCGATTTCTGAAGCTTCGTCGAGTGCAGATTTTTATAGGGGCTGGCATTAAGTTCCAAAGCACACTTGAATCTCCACCAGTAGAAGCTTCATTCTTGCACTTCTAAGATCTTGATTTGTCCGACCTCTTCTCTCTTCAACACCTTTGAAAATGTCTGGCCCCTCCGACCGTCGTTTTGACTTGAACCTTGTTGAAGAGGCAGCCCCGCCTTCTCCAGACAACATATGGCGCCCATCCTTCGTCTCCCCTACTGGTCCTCTTACCGTTGGGGATTCCGTGATGAAGAATGATATGACCGCTGCGGTGGTGGCCAGGAACCTTCTCACTCCCAAAGATAACAGACTACTTTCCAAACGGTATGATGAGTTAGCTGTTAAGGATTCGCTGGCTCTCAGTGTTCAGTGTGCAGGTTCTGTGTCTAATATGGCCCAACGCCTATTTGCTCGAACCCGCCAAGTTGAATCATTGGCGGCTGAAGTGATGAGTCTCAAACAGGAGATTAGAGGGCTCAAGCATGAGAATAAACAGTTGCACCGGCTCGCACATGACTATGCTACAAACATGAAGATGAAGCTTGACCAGATGAAGGAAACTGATGGTCAGGTTTTACTTGATCATCAGAGATTTGTGGGTTTGTTCCAAAGGCATTTATTACCTTCGTCTTCTGGGGCTGTACCGCGTAATGAAGCTCCAAATGATCAACCTCTGATGCCTCCTCCTTCTAGGGTTCTGTCCAGTACTGAGGCTCCAAATGATCCCCCTCCGGTGCCTTCTCTTTCTGGGGCTCTACCGACTGCTGCTGCTGAGACTTCTCCTAAGCAACCTTTGTGAAGGCTCCCTCTTGTGTGCTTATTTTGACTCATGTATATGTACATATTTGTAGCTTATCGGGGATATCAATAAATAAGCTTTTCTTCATTTCAACGTATTGTGTTAAATACACCAAAGCCTTCTTCGCTAAGTTCTTTGAATTTTCTTTTGTTAAAGCTTGTATGTTGAAGCTTTCTGAGTGGAGCATGTAGGTTGGGGTAGTGTTCCCTTAATTTCCCGAGTGAGGAAAACTTCTCGGTTGGAGACTTGGAAAATCCAAGTCACTGAGTGGGATCGGCTATATGAATCTTAGAACGCCATTGTGCTCGATCCTGTGTCATGTCCTTCGTTAGATCCAAGTACTCTAAGTCTTTTCTTAGAGTCTCTTCCAAAGTTTTCCTAGGTCTTCCTCTACCCCTTCGGCCCTGAACCTCTGTCCCATAGTCGCATCTTCTAATCGGAACGTCAGTAGGCCTTCTTTGCACATGTCCAAACCACCGTAACCGATTTTCTCTCATCTTTCCTTCAATTTCGGCTACTCCTACTTTACCCCGGATATCCTCATTCTTAATCTTATCCTTTCTCGGGTGCCCACACATCCAACGAAGCATCCTCATCTCCGCTACACCCATTTTGTGTACGTGTTGATGTTTCACCGCCCAACATTCTGTGCCATACAGCATCGCCGGCCTTATTGCCGTCCTATAAAATTTTCCCTTGAGCTTCAGTGGCATACGGCGGTCACACAACACGCCGGATGCACTCTTCCACTTCATCCATCCAGCTTGTATTCTATGGTTGAGATCTCCATCTAATTCTCCGTTCTTTTGCAAGATAGATCCTAGGTAACGAAAACGGTCGCTCTTTGGTATTTCTTGATCTCCGATCCTCACCCCTAACTCGTTTTGGCCTTCATTTGCACTGAACTTGCACTCCATATATTCTGTCTTTGATCGGCTTAGGCGAAGACCTTTAGATTCCAACACTTCTCTCCAAAGGTTAAGCTTTGCATTTACCCCTTCCTGAGTTTCATCTATCAACACACTATATCGTCTGCGAAAAGCATACACCAAGGAATATCATCTTGAATATGTCGTGTTAACTCATCCATTACCAACGCAAAAAGGTAAGGACTTAAGGATGAGCCTTGATGTAATCCTACAGTTATGGGAAAGCTTTCGGTTTGTCCTTCATGAGTTCTTACGGCAGTCTTTTGCTCCTTCATACATATCCTTTATAGCTTGGATATATGCTACTCGTACTCCTTTCTTCTCTAAAATCCTCCAAAGAATGTCTCTTAGGACCCTATCATACGCTTTTTCCAAATCTATAAAGACCATGTGTAAATCCTTTTTCCCATCTCTATATCTTTCCATCAATCTTCGTAAGAGATAGATTGCCTCCATGGTTGAGCGCCCTGGCATGAACCCGAATTGGTTGTCCGAAACCCGTGTCTCTTGCCTCAATCTATGCTCAATGACTCTCTCCCAGAGCTTCATTGTATGACTCATTAGCTTAATACCCCTATAGTTCATGCAATTTTGTACGTCGCCCTTATTCTTGTAGATAGGCACCAAAGTGCTCATTCGCCACTCATTTGGCATCTTTCTTCGTTTTCAAAATCCTATTGAAAAGGTCAGTGAGCCATGTTATACCTGTCTCTCCCAAAAGTTTCCACACTTCGATTGGTATATCGTCTGGGCCTATTGCTTTTTTATGCTTCATCTTCTTCAAAGCTACAACCACTTCTTCCTTCCGGATTCGACGATAAAAAGAGTAGTTTCTACACTCTTCTGAGTTACTCAACTCCCCTAAAGAAGCACTCATTTCATGTCCTTCATTGAAAAGATTATGAAAATAACCTCTCCATCTGTCTTTAACCGCGTTCTCTGTAGCAAGAACCTTTCCATCCTCATCCTTGATGCACCTCACTTGGTTTAGGTCCCTTGTCTTCTTTTCCCTTGCTCTAGATAGTTTATAGATATCCAACTCTCCTTCTTTGGTATCTAGTCGTTTATACATATCGTCGTAAGCCGCTAACTTAGCTTCTCTGACAGCTTTCTTCGCCTCTTGCTTCGCTTTTCTATACCTTTCACCATTTTCATCAGTCCTCTCCTTGTATAAGGCTTTACATCATTCCTTCTTAGCCTTCACCTTTGTTTGTACCTCCTCATTCCACCACCAAGATTCCTTTTGGTGTGGGGCAAAGCCCTTGGACTCTCCTAATACCTCTTTTGCTACTTTTCGGATACAACTAGCCATGGAATCCCACATTTGGCTAGCTTCCCCCTCTCTATCCCACACACATTGGGTGATTACCTTCTCTTTGAAAATGGCTTGTTTTTCTTCTTTTAGATTCCACCATCTAGTCCTTGGGCACTTCCAAGTCTTGTTCTTTTGTCTTACTCTTTTGATATGTACATCCATCACCAACAAGCGATGTTGATTAGCCACGCTCTCTCCTGGTATAACTTTGCAATCCTTACAAGTTATACGATCCCCTTTCCTCATTAGAAGAAAATCTATTTGTGTTTTTGACGACCCACTCTTGTAGGTGATCACATGTTCTTCTCTCTTCTTAAAGAAGGTGTTGGCTAAGAAGAGATCATATGCCATTGCAAAATCCAAGATAGCTTCCCCATCCTCGTTTCTCTCCCCAAAACCATGGCCACCATGAAAAACCTCCATAGTTGCCTGTCTCCCTGCCCACGTGTCCATTTAAATCTCCTCCTATAAATAACTTCTCCGTCTGAGCAATTCCTTGCACCAAGTCTCCAAGATCTTCCCCAAAATTTCTCCTTCGAACTCGTATCCAACCCTACTTGAGGTGCGTACGCACTAATCACATTGATAAGTTCTTGTCCTATTACAATCTTGATTGCCATGATTCTATTCTCCTACCCTCTTGACATCTACAACATCTTGTACCAAGGTCTTGTCCACGATGATGCCAACACCGTTTCTCGTTCTATTTGTGCCCGAATACCAAAGTTTAAACCCTGAGTTTTCTAGATCCTTTGCCTTACTACCAACCCACTTAGTTTCTTGTAGGCACATAATATTTATCCTTCTCCTCACCATAACTTCCACTACTTCCATAGATTTTCCCGTTAAGGTTCCTATATTCCACGTTCCTAAACGCATTTTGCTCTCTTGAACTCTACCCTTCTGTCCTAGCTTCTTCACCCTCCCCCGTCTAATAGGATCAAAGTACTTCTTTTGTGTGTCCCGGGTAAAGTTGATAGGAGCATATGCTCCCAAACAACTTTGAGTGGAGTCGTTCGAAAAGAAGTTTCTATGGCCCCCTTGCTCATTTAACACTGCATCCGGGTGCCGATGGAGATACAGCGACCCTTGCTCACTTATCACTGTGCTCAGGCCACACAGCGCGCCACTTACGGGTGACGCCCTAGCTTTAGCGCGATTTTGTTCTGGATTCATTTTCATAAGGATTCGACGTGATCATGGAGTGCCGGCTGTCGACTACCTGACGCCCTCCCCCTCCTCCTTTATCCGGGCTTGGGACCGGCCATGTAAGACATAGGCGGAGTTTCTTGACGACGAACGCTCAAATAAAATACGTGGATACGCAGAGAAGGATGCCAAAAAACTAGCGGTCAATGAAGACTTAAATGAAGGGTTCGATGGAGGGACTTGAAAATGATTAGATGCTATACATTCAAGACAACTTTGAGATAACTTATTGAAATGTGTCATTTCAAAAAGCATTCATTGTGTTTTAGTAGTAGCTTTGTAATGCTTGAGTAGTTCATTGGGAGTAGTCGTCTTAAGCCCTTTTTCTCCGCTCTTTTCATCTAAAAAAGTGTTTAATTTGGTAGCTGCAGGTGCTTTCCCCGCGTCATTTGTCAATTCCTTCCAAGTAAGATATCATATTGGCATGGCTGCTACATTGGTAGGTGGAGCTTTTCTCTCTGCTTCTCTTCAAACGTTATTTGGTCTGTTGGCCTCTCGTGAAGTTGTGGAGTTCGTGCGTGGAAAGAAACTTGACAGCAGACTTCTGAGCAAGCTGAAGGTCACTTTGCTTTCTGTCAATTCTGTGCTCAGCTATGCCGAAGACAAGCAGATTATTGACTCAGCGGTGGAAGAGTGGCTTGATGAGCTTAGAGATGCTGTCCATGATGCCGAGGACATGTTGGATGAGACTAACACTGATGCTTTGCAGAAAAAGATGGAAGCCGAAGCTGAAAGCAGCAGTGAAAGTTTGGTACGAAACTTCAGCTGTATTTCATTGAATGCATTTGACAATGAATTAGAACACAAGATACGGGTGATTCTTGAAAGATTAGAATTTATAGTGAGTAGCAAGTCTGTTCTCGGCTTGAAAGAAGGTATGAAGGATGGTGCGTCGAGAAGATCACCTACAACATCTTTGGTGGAAGAGTCTGTTTATGGCCGGGATGAGGACAAAGAGGCCATTATTAGATTGCTGCTATCGGATCGTGATGTTTGTAGAAATGAGATCTGTGTGATTCCGGTGGTGGGCATGGGAGGCATTGGGAAGACCACTCTTGCTCAGCTCGTATATAATGATGTCAGAGTGCAGGAATACTTCGATCTCAGGGCGTGGGTTTGCGTGTCAAAAGAGTTTGATGTTGTGAGTATAACAAAAACAATTTCTGAGACATTCACTTCAGTGGATTGCGGCATTAATAATCTGAATTTGCTTCAAGTTAAACTGAAAGATCAATTGATGGCCAAGAAATTTCTGATTGTTCTAGATGATGTTTGGAATGAGGACTACCTTGATTGGGCTGAGTTAAGGAAACCTTTCATGAATGGGGTGAATGGAAGTAAGGTGATTGTCACAACACGTAGCGAAAATGTTGCATCGATCATGGGTACTATTCCGTCTTATTCTCTAAAGCAATTAAGTGATCAAGATTGCTGGTTGTTGTTTGCAAAGCATGCCTTCAGCAATCCAGAGTCAAGAGAGCAACCAAACTTTCAAGTGATGGGTAGAGAAATTGTGAAAAAGTGCAAAGGGCTTGCTTTGGCTGCAAAAGTGCTTGGGGGGCTTCTACGATCAAAACAAGATCCTGAGGATTGGAATAATATACTTACTAGTGAGATCTGGGATTTGTCAGATGACACACGTAACATTCTTCCGGCTCTAGGATTGAGCTACGATTATCTCCCATTACATCTGAAGCAATGCTTTTCTTATTGTTCAATATTCCCCAAAGGTTATAAATTCAGAAGAGATGAAGTGGTCTTATTGGATGGCAGCAGATCTTTTACCACCCCCCAAAGGAAAGAAGAGGATGGAACATGTGGGAGAAGAGTGTTTTCATGATCTCGTTTCAAGGTCACTTTTTCAACAATCTGGTGTCGACAAATCATTTTTTGTTATGCATGACCTTGTTAATGATCTGGCGAAGTGTGTGTCCGGAAAGTTTTGTCTTAGGATGGATGATGTTGAATCAGATACTCTGATCAGCAAGACTCGTCATTTGACATTTTCTAGAACAATGCATGATGAGAAGTTTAAGATGTTCTATGATGCGAAGCGATTGCGCACTTTCCTCCCCCTAACATGTCAATCACTGCATGGACAATTCCATTTGTCTGACAAGGTAACAAATGACCTGTTACCGAGGCTACCATACTTGCGAGCCCTCTGCCTATCACATTACAACATCATGGAGTTGCCTGAATCAATTGGAAATTTGAAGCTTTTGCGGTACTTTGACCTCTCTCACACTTCAATTCAGAGGTTACCTGAAAATGTAAGTACCTTATACCAATTGCAGACATTAATTCTGTCATGTTGCTCCTCTCTTACGGGGCTGCCAACCAGCATGCGAAGACTTATAAACTTGCGCCATTTGGACATTAGTCACACCAAACTTAAGGAGATGCCAAGAAAAATGAGTAAGCTGAAGAGCCTACAAACATTAACTGATTTTGTTGTTGGAGAAACTAGCGAATGCAACATTGGAGAGTTGGGTGAGCTCTGTAATCTTCGCGGAAAACTTTCTATTTCTAAGCTTCAAAATGTTGTCCACAAAGATCATGCTTCGGAGGCCAAAATGCAGGAGAAGAAGTACCTCGATATGCTAGTCTTCAGTTGGGCTGGTCATGCTGATGATTCACATCATGAAAGAAATGTACTTGAAAGGCTCCAACCTCATTTGAGCTTGAAAGAACTCACAATTGAAAATTATGGGGGTACAAGATTTCCAGATTGGTTAGGGGATCATTCCTTCACTAATATGGTCACTGTACATCTTGAAGATTGTAAAGGGTGTTTCATTTTGCCAACACTTGGGACGTTACCATCTCTCAAAGAGCTTTACATCTCTGGGTTTGACGGGGTAAGGATGGTAGGTTCTGAGTTTTATGGTACTTGTTCTTCAGTAAATCAGCCATTTAGATCCCTAGAAATTTTGAAGTTCGATGGTATGTCAGAGTGGCTTGGATGGTCTGGTTTTGGAGGTGGCGACGAAGGTGGTGCTTTCCCTTGTCTACGGGAGCTCCATCTGCAACGGTGTCCTAAGCTCAGAGGAGATTTACCCAACTATCTTCCATCTTTGACATCAGTTTGGATTTTTGAATGCCAGCAGCTGGTGGCTTCACTTCCAAGGGCACCATCTATCCATGGCTTGAAGTTCGGACACTGTGATATGTGGCAACTAAAAGAACTGCCGGCTGAGCTGCGTTGGCTCAGAATTGAAGGATGCCATGTGCTGGAGTCTATACCTGGCAACTTGAAGCAAGCGACATCTTGTCTTCAAGAGTTATTTATCTCCAACTGTTCTTCTCTTGCATCCTTCCCTCGGGATAGCTTACCCCGTACACTGAAAGCCCTGGAAATTGAGGGATGTGGACAGTTAGATATTCTTTCTGACTGCTACTATGCATCCCTTGAAAGTTTGTCCATATGGAGAAGCTGCGATTCCCTTGAGTCCTTTCCATTCGACATCTTCCCAAAATTAAACAATCTCAAAATCCGAAGCTGTAAGAGTTTGAAATCACTTTCCATTTCAGGTGAACCTAACCATGAGCTTCAGTGTTTGAGTCTCTTGGAAATATGGGATTGTCCGAGTTTGGTTTCATTCCCCGATATAGGATTGCCAGCACCGCACCTGACACAATTTAAAGCAACAGATTGTATGAAGTTGAAGTGGCTGCCTAAGGGGATGAACAAACTCCTATCTCTTCAGACCTTGGAAATATCCGGATGCCCAGAACTCATGTCATTTCCTGATGGGGGTTTGCCCTTGAACTTGAATTGTCTCTATATTTGGGATTGCAACAAACTCATTGCGCAGCGATTGCATTGGAAGCTGAAAGCTCTGGTGTCCCTTAAATGTCTTAGCATCATGGGTGGAAAACGGTCTGATGTGCAGTGTTTTCCAGAGGAGGGGATGCTGCCCACCTCTCTTACCTCTCTCTCCATATGTGGATTTCCAAATCTCACATCACTTGATAAGGGGCTGCAGCAACTGACCGCCCTTGAAAAACTAGAAATCAGCCACTGCCGCAAGTTCCAATGTTTGCCAAAAGACGGGTTGAAACATCTATCTTACCTATGCATCAGAAAATGTCCTATGCTGAAACAATGTTTCCGAAAGGAAAGAGAAGATTGGCCTACGGTAGACCACATTCCCCTCGTAGAGATTGACAATCAGAGGATTTCATAAGCTGAAGCTGCGGAAGGGCCTCTATTCTTTTCTGAATAAACAATTTGTCTCAGGTACTTGTTATACGCTAATAATACTCTAGAACAAATATGCCTTTTTGTTTTCATTGAGTGTTGCTACCACTTTGAATTGAAGATTACAGACTTTTTCTTGAACCGAGGCTTCTTGTCAAAAGTAGGCATAAACTATGTTTGCGTCCTGCTACTCAAAACTTTCCTTCCGCCATTTCACTGTAAACTCCAGTTTTCACTAATGCAAACACAGCGGGAGAGATGGCGAGAAAGATTTCCAATTTGCTCTCTCTCTTTCTCACGCACACACATGCGCGCACGAATGAACAAGTTTATGTATGTCCATTCACGCAGAGACATGAATTCTATGTTCATTCACGGAGACAACGATAAAATTCAATTGGTCTGTTGCAAGTAGGTCTGCGTATGAAGATTTTTACTTGTAAAACTTGTAAAAGGTAGACAAGGGAAATAACTCGGAAACATTTCTGTGCATGGAGCTGCCTAATATTCATTTCACACTACATGAACAAGACCAATGCAGTTATATTTGGTAGAGATTCTGAAACAAGAAATTGCCCGGCTGGAAACATCATTAATTTCACAATACGTTTCAACCACAAGATTACAAGGAAAAGGAAGCAAATCAAAGCAGAAATAGGACTTTGATGTGCATTATCGAATTTTCTTTTAACATTTGAACAACTTCTTTCATGGGAGGCCTCTGTCAGTGATATACTTCATGGACGCAAATCAAGGCGATCGAAAGAAAGTAATGTAATTTGGTTGCAACCAATTCCCACAACGAGATAGCCCAAAGCCTCGATTTATCGTGCAGCCAACTATAAAGATCGCCATCGTAGTACTTGTAAAACAGATGGTGAGTTGAGTTCCACTGGCAGTGCCCCAAAAGCTTGATGGCATTTGGGTGTTGTACCAATTGTAGAGTTTTTTATGTATATTTCATGTATAAAACAGTTACAAGTTCATACATAAATAGAAGAAGAAACGGGAAAGAGAGTGGAGAACAAAAGGTAGGGGACAATGGCAGCTAAGCAAGTATAATGATGACCTCCACTCTCTCTAACTTAAGCCACTAACAAGCTTTACAGCCACTAACAAGCTTTACAATGATGAGGGAATAACAAACAGCTAATACTAGCACTAAGACTAGCTGCATGCAAGTTGAGCTGTTATCCATCAAAGCCAGATAAAAGCTTGCATTATTCTTCCAACATTTAACCCTACTTCCAACAGCAACCTTAATCCAGTGCTTAATATCCTGTATTAGGGTTAAAGACTGATACTAGGGTTAAAGACTGAAATGCCATTTTGTTGTGGCGTTCCTACACAATTTGTTTGTTGCAAAATTCCATGCTCACTTAAGTAAGTTGTCATGATTTTGGAAGTGTACTCAGACCCATTATTAGACCTTAAGATGCCAATATTAGAGTTAAAATGATTTTGAACTAAGTTATGAAAATTTTTGAAACATTGGAAAGCTTCGTGCTTGAATTTAAGTAAATACACAAAGGTAGTTCTAGAGAAATCATCAATGAAAGATATATAGAATCTGTAACCATCAAAAGACTTTAAGGTTGCAGGTCCCCAAATGTCGGAATGGACAATTTCAAAAGCTTTGGTAGCTCAAGAGAGAGAATGGGGAAAGAGTAACCTGGTAAACTTAGATTTGTGACAAACTTCACAATCTGGGATCACTTTACAGAAACTAGGAAAAAAAAAAGATATAACATGTGAAGAAGGGTGAGCTAATCTCATGTGCCACAGCTGCTCCTTGTTTACTGTGTTTGAGTTTACGTAGAAACTCTTTGGAAAACTTGAAGAGAAGTTGACATAGTACAGTCCATTGAGGAAGAACCCTTTACCAATCGTTTCCTTCGAAACTCGATCCTGGAAAATCACACAGTGAGTGGAAAAAATTGCAAGACAATTGAGCAATTGTGTTATTCTTCCTACTGACAGCAGTTTGAAAGGAAAAGAAGGGACATGCATGACAAGGGATTCTTTTTTACTCAAGAAGATTTTGAGTTTCCTTCTGCCTACTATACGAACTTTGGTGCCATTAGCTACGGAGACAAAAGAATGAGTGGAGAAGTTTTGAAAAACATTTAGTAAAGATGCATCGTTAGTCATGTGATCAGAAGCTCCTAAGTCGACTATCCAAAAATCACGACTACTACTAAGATCCAATGCAATGGAAATAGTTGCAACAATACCTGGCACGTCATTTTGTGACACTGAGGTTGATTGTTCGAGGAAGCCAGCAAACTTGCCGAGCATGGCTGTGGGACTTTCATGATTTGTTGTTCCTTGTTTCTGTTGCAAGAAGTTAGCAAATTCATTTATGAGAGTAATGGGACTAGAGGAAGAGTTTATCACATTATTGGAGACATTGTCGCAAACAAGGTTTCCTCTATGAGTGTAGGCAGGCTTCATTTGGTTTCTTGGTGCTCTTCCATCATCGTTGAACTTGGGTTTAAGTTCTGGATGAAGAATCCAGCACTTTTCTTTTATGTGTCCAACGCCTGGACGACCTATCTTCACACAGTGAGAACACTTTAAGTCTGGTCGTTTTCCCTTGTATGGTCTGGAGAAGGTGAAGGCTCTCGCTTCTGATGGCCTAAGATCTGATTCTCCAACGACCACGTCTGCGTTCATGACCTTCTTTCTTACTTCTTCGCGTTGAATAACATTGCAGACCATCTGGAAAGTAGGAAGTTCAGGTGTCATAAAGAGATGACTTTTAAGATCTTCATACTCTGGTCCAATGCTAGCAAGCAACTGGAACACCTTGTCTTCTTCAGCACGTTTTAAAAGACTGGTTGTGTCCGTGGTATGAGGTCTGTAGAGATCCAATTCATTCCATTTGGCCTTCAAGTTGCCAAGATGTTGAACAAATGAGAGATTTCCCTGTTGTAGTTCCGTAAGGTCTTTCTTTAGCTGGAAGACTCGCGCAACATTGTTTAGATCCCCATACATGTCTCGTACAGAATTCCAAAAGTGGTGAGATGACACTGAATAACTGAAAATCTTAGCCATCTTTGGTTCCATAGAGTTTAACAGCCAAGACATGATAAGTTGATCTTGGGACACCCATGCTGCATAATCTGGTGAAGTTGTTTCGGGTATGATGTCATCCTTTTGAATGAACGAGAGCTTTCCACATCCTCCAAGAGTGAGAGAAATAGCTCGTGACCAGGGCAGATAGTTGAATTCGTTTAGGAGCACAGAGCTCAAACGTTGAATTGGGTTGGTATCTATGGTTTCGTTTTTTGAAATTTTCTCTGCTGGTGTTGCCATAATGGCTTAACTGGTTTGGATTTGGTAGGATTTCAGAAGAACACAGAGCCAGGTCCAATAGGGATCACTGCTCTGATACCATGTAGAGTTTTTGATGTATGTTTCATGTATAAAACAGTTACAAGTTCATACATAAATAGAAGAAGAAACGGGAAAAAAAATGGAGAACAAAAGGTAGGGGATAATGGCAGCTAAGCAAGTATAATGATGACCTCCACTCTCTCTAACTTAAGCCACTAACAAGCTTTACAGCCACTAACAAGCTTTACAATGATGAGGGAATAACAAACAGCTAATACTAGCACTAAGACTAGCTGAATGCAAGTTGAGCTGTTATCCATCAAAGCTAAATAAAAGCTTGCATTATTCTTCCAACATTTAACCCTACTTCCAACAGCAACCTTAATCCAGTGCTTAATATCATGTATTAAGGTTAAAGACTGATACTAGGGTTAAAGACTGATACTTCAATACCAATGTATTAAAAGGCGGAGGCGTGGGCAAGGCGTTCCATGGATAGTCCCGCCTAGCCGTGAGGCGAAGCCTTACGGGACCTTAAATAATAAGGGGCCGCTGAGAAAAACAAGGGAAACAAGGGACTCTTGGGGTTTTTAAAATAAAAGAAAAATAGATTTGACCAAATGAAGTTATTTTGGGCCAAGTCATTTAAAAAAAATAAAGAATTTGCCAAAACGACATCGTTTTGGACCAAGTCTTTAAAAAAAAAATCCCTCTTCTTCTTCGCGATTGTCTTTCTCGTGAAGATGCCGCACACCCTGCAACCCTAAACCCAAATGACAGAGCCTTCAACTTCGATTTACCCTGACAACAGAGCATTTGACTTCGATTTTGGGTCACAGATGGATCTGGGAACACCCGCCAACCGCCCTTAGGCGCGCCTCAGCCGCCTAGGCTCGCCTCAACCACGCCTCGGTGAGTTTTCGCTCATTCCCATTAGGCAGAGGCGTTATCACTCCCGCCCCGCCTCTAAAACCGCCTAGGCACACAACACTGTGTTGTACTGTACCTTACCAAGTGTTTCTTCGGCACGAATTGCTCTTGCTCGCACGTCAGGGAACCCTATAGTGCAATGCTTGTTGACATCTAGCTACGCTCATGCCATTGGAAAGTAGTCCCCTGTTGGCCAGACCGGATCTCCCGACTCCAGTGAACATTTCCTAGGAGAAATCTTTCGTGGCTCTGCGGAGCTCAGCCATCGTCGATGTTTGATAAGACGTGCTACCAGATACCTAACAGAACAATATTAAGCATATGATGATTGCAAAGGGTTTTCCCAACACCTAATAATTTGCCTCACAAAACTTGGTAAATTGGTGTAGTTTTTTTAGTTCGACAATATTCTAATCTAATATAAATCACGGTACACTCTCATATATATCCACTGTTCTAAAAATCCCCGCCTAGCGCCGCCTAAGCCCCGCCTAGGCGCTAGGCCCCAACCCACCGCCTAGACCACCTAGGCACCCGCTTAGCCCACCTAGGCATCCACCTAGACCCGCCTAGGTTGCAACTCACTTAGACTAAAAATACATAACTTTCATTTTGCATTTTGTTTTTTTCCAATAAATTGTAAGAGACTTGTTGCATACTTGAATGAACAAACATTATATCCTTATTTCACATGTTTTCATTATGTTCCAATACTTCATGATATATATGCATTCTATTTTGTAGTTTATGATGAAATTATATATATTTCAAGTAGAAGCAGACACTTATTTACATGAAATATGATAGATTTACTTAAATCCACCTAGTCCGCCTAGGCGCCCGCCTAGGCCCTGCCTAGCCGCCTAGGCGCTAGGCCCCAGCCCGCCACCTGACTAGCGCCTAACGACTTTTAGAACCTTGTATATATCAAAAAGCTAAAGGCTGGAAATATTATATTGTGTATCACGTCAACATAAATAAGGTCTAATAATACAAGTAATTTATATTTGATCCCTAACATCTCTAATATTGTGCAAATAATTTTGTATTTGATCCCTAACAGTTTTCTTAGTGAATTGATGGTTCAATACCTTTTGGTTATGTTATTTATGTAGTTTTGTGTTTTATATGCGCATTCATATACATCTCTATCTTTCTCTCTCTCGCGCAATTTTGATTGGACTTGCATGCAATGCTTTATGTAGAGAGAGATGATATTCGGATTAACTTATTTATATTTTTGTCGTGTTCGTGTAAATTCACATGTTGATCAACATGTAAAAAATAATATCAATATAACAATGTAATCCAAATACCAAGTTGATGTTTGTAGTAGTTTCGACTAAGAATTCATAAGGACGAATTAGTTGAAATTGATGTATCTAGAAAATAAAGTCAATAATCTTAGAATCTTGCTTCAACTTTGTAGAAAATACATGTTGTCATATTTCCGGCACACATAAAATCTCTCCATGCCTACCCATATTTTATTTTTTTTGTACATCGATATTTTTACAGTAAGAGAATGGAGAGTTTGATTAAGCCACATAATGGACAACCTAATCTAGTATCAAATTTTCCATCCACGATATTCAAACCTAAGACCTCTCATTTTCAAATGAAGATTAATACCACCAGACTATAGTACTGATTGATCACGTCACCCCTAATTAAACGATTGATTTCAATTAAAAATGTGAGAACACGCCACCGTTTTTAATATTTTATAAACAGAACGACGTGTTGTTAGGAAGGACTTGGATTGTCTGCCCTCCTAGTTGTGGTGCCCTTCCATGCCCTCCTATTTTGTGCGGTCACGGTTAAGCTACGTCAATATTTTATATTTTTTATTATTTTTTTGTCTTATTATCTTATTAAAAAATTAATATAAAATATTGACATGGCTTAACCGTGACCGCACAAAATAGGAGGGCATGGAAGGGCACCATAACTAAGAGGGCAGACAATCCAAGTCCTGTTAGGAAACCGTTCTCTGGACAGGAACGTGTCTAGAAGCCAGTCGCTGCGAATATTCTCTGACGATTAGCTGACAGAATCTTTTTGGTGCTCAACCCTGCGTATCCAGAGTCACAGAGGGGCATCCGCCGTAATTTTAACTAAGATCCTTACCTCTTTCAGTAATTTCGCATCAAGAAAGTTTTCCATCCTCGGGCCGCCACCGAAAAAACCCACAAATGGCTATAAAACCCGCCAGCGCCAAAATTTCATCCGATCCCCAACCTCTTTCATTCCGATTCGATCAAATTTCTATCTCCGATCTTCAATTCGAGATTCCAATCGTTCGATTCGATCTTTTTCCTACCTGTTGATCCCAATTTCATTCCTCGCCGTGCCTCCAATCCGATTCTCTAGGGTTAGGGTTTTGAATTTTCCAGAAAAGTTTTCGATCCGAGAAAGGGTTTTTTCCTGATCTGTGAAAAAATTGTTCGCTGATAGTTTTTCGCTGTCCCAGTTGTTATGGGTGGTTCAAAAGTTTCCAGATTTATCTGAAAATTTGGGAAAGTTTTAGGTTTTTTGGAAGTTTCCAATTTTATATTGTTTTTGTCTGTAATTGCTCGTAAGTTAGTATTTAAAATTAAAATTGTAGTAATTTTTGGGTTTTGACGTTTGAGAGGCTGATTATTTGGTGCTTTTGTCAGTTGCTGGAACTCCATATTTTCAGGTAAGGATCAGTTCCTTTAGCTAAGCTCAGTAGTATTAATCATTTAAATTTTTTTTTTAAATAAATTACTGTGTATTTTAGATAATTGTTTGACTGGTAGACTATATTTGTTTGCTCTTAGTGCCCCTGCATATATTGCAGTACAGAAATTGGTATCAAATTATGTGTAAACATGGTTTGTTGCAAAAAATGATGCAAAAGTAGATGTTTTGAAGTTAACATCGTATGTTCTTTTTTAAGGAATATGTGTCACTGTCACTTATCGAAAGGAAAAATGAAAGAATTGAATACTAAGCGACGATCTAATTAGTCGATATAAGTAGCTTCAACTTCACAGACAATTTTTTTCTGAAGCTAGATGGATGCTTGTTGGGAAGTAGGTGGTATTCAATGTGTTATGCCCATAGTTTTTCGTACCTGATGCGGTTTTTGTTTCAAATTCGGCGTCCATATTTATTGAGAAAGCACGAACACTGTTGATTAAGTCAAGTCATTTGGAGGGCTTAGTTTCATGAAGATTGTTATTTTGTTCTCGTTTCTGAAATCTTTATTTGCTGCTTTCTGCTTTGGGTGGGAGTTTTAGATTAGGAAAAATGCTGTGTTGCATATTCAATGCTCCACTTCAAATGTGACTTCACTTTGCAGGAGAAAATGACAAACAAACGGCCTTTCCATGGTGACGATTCTTATGAGGTTGCTTGGAAGCACCCAAGACAATTGGAATACGCAAATGAGCCTGCTCCAATTGTGGATACTTTTCCTTTTAGTAGCGCCCCCCAGAAATTTCAAATTTCAGGTACCAAATAGTTGGATGGTCAATTAGTCACTAATTATTCGATTTCCAAGTTGTGCATATAATGGTTGGCGGAAACTTTAGAAGATGTAGATGTATAACATGCTCCATGGATCTGGAATTGCAATTTAGAGTTTAATCTGGACCATTAACACAATCTGACCTTCAAAATGAAATAATGGCATCAGTTTTTTATACTCTAATGCAAGTTAGTGCTATCTATTGTGAGTTGATATAATGTTTACGAGGGCTAATGCATGTTTTTGTTAGCTGGGTATTTTCTGTAGATATTTAGTTTGATCCTATAGCTGATGTAATTACTATATGAAGATGGTGAAGGTGATGGGAGTTTTAGTACATGTCCAGATGAAGGAGGGTTTGCAAGTGACTTGGGAACTGAAATC